TGGGTCCCGCTCTCCACTGCCGACGACCACGGCGACGCCGTCAATCGTCATCCCGAGGAGCCGCCCTGTAGGAATTTTCGATACGTTCTGGTAACCCTCCCATCTCCTCTTCCCTTGCTGCTCCCTTCTGTATTGGTGTCTAGTTCCTTCCACTTCAGCGAATTTTGGGAAGGAGGGTTTTAAATTTTTCTGATGATACCTTGTTGACCCCCTCGAAATTTCTGATGATTTCTTCTCAAGAACAGTGTTAAGATTGAAAAGATCTCTTCTTGGAAGATAAAGATGACATCTTGCTTATGGAACGTGCAATTGAATATATATTTTCTTGATCAAGCTGTGGGTCTGGTAACGTCTAGTGACTTTTTTCTTCCCCTTGTGGTAGGATCAGTTGAGGTATCAGCTTTTGGGTTTTCTTTGGAAGAGGCAAGAAGACGGTGGTATTGTGTTTTTCCTGAAGCGTACGGCAAGTAAAGTTTCAAGGAAGACGGCCAGTGGAAATTGGTAGATGATCTAAATTAGGTAATTATGGAGGCCATGATGACTGGTGTGATATATGCAACTCTCAGGGTCAGATGGAAGATCAAATGGAATCACTTTGCCCACATTTAGCTGCTAAATTTATTTATTTATTTATTGGTGAATTCAAGGACTTGCAAATGCTGGAAAAACCTGGTTTGTGCAATAGATCAGTCATGCAAATTGCTTTTCCTTCGCTGGGAAATCTTGTAGAAGTGACTTTTTAAGTTTCTTGAGATATATGGTTTTGGGCTTACAGAAATCTTGCTTAGTCTACTCAAAGCTTCTCATTTGATTGTTGCATAGTTCTCCAGAAACTAGAAGGACATTCTTTTTAGTTGGAGTTATATCCTACTTACAAAATTTCGTTTCGTTTATAATTTGAGTACGTCTATGTTCAAACTTTTTGGTTGACTCCTTGCAGAACCTTATTGTTGATATGGCATGATGCTTGGGAGTTTGAATTTAGATTCTTTTAGCTAATTACAGTCAAAGTTGGCCAGAAATTATATGTTAGAGCTAGCCTCAAAAAATTTACCATAAGGTAATTTTGGCAACCCAACAAGACAATAAAGCGGAAAGAATAAAAGCGAGACAAGAACACCATATATACGTGGTTCGGTCAATTGACTTTGATCTACATCCACGGACGAAAAATGAGCAAATTACTACTGTAAAAAGGGACAATTACAAATGCCTTAGGAAGATGTTCCTAGGCCATAAAACACCCAAAAATACTAAACAAGAAAAACCAAACTATAAGTCCAAACTATTTAACTGAGTATGGATTTAAACCAAAGCAAACACTTAGGTTTTTCTTGTGATGCCACTTATGGTACCTCTTGTGATGCATCTGACTTCAAAGTCCAAGCCCTTATTTATAGTTCCAAGACGAGACAACAAGTCTGATTTTCCCGATGTGGGACTATGGGACTTGCCAAACTAACAAATCTTCACCTTGGCATGTTCCAACAAAACTTGCTCCACATTCTTCATAAAAACCCCAACGGGCAATCACCAACAATGAATACCAACCAAGTCCAAGCACTGCTTGAACTTGTAAACCGGAAGAAGCTTCGTAAACATATCAGCTGGATTGTCCTTCGTATGAATTTTCTGAACAAGGACTTTTCCCGCAGCAATGATATCCCGAATAAAATGAAACTTCACATCGATGTGTTTTGTCCTCTCATGATACATCTAGTCTTTAGTCAAATGAATAGCACTTTGACTATCATAGTAAATTGTAGTAACACTTTGATGCAAACATAATTCGCTAAACAATCCTCTTAACCATAAAACTTCTTTGATCGCCTCTGTCACTGTCATATATTCTGCCTCTGTAGTAGATAAAGCTACGACAGGTTGTAAGGAAGCTTTCCAACTAACTGCACAACCGCCAACGCAAAATACATAGCCTGTCAAAGATCTTCGTTTATCAAGATCCGCAGCATAATCAGAGTCGACGTAACCAACCAAAGTGTCACGATTTTTCCCAAATTCCAAACAAACATCTGAAGTCCCTTGCAAGTATCTGAGAATCTACTTCATAGCCTGCCAATGTGTTTTACCTGGGCGAGACATATATCTACTAACCACACTGACTGCTTGTGAAATATCTGGACGAGTACAAACCATTGCATACATAATACTGCCGATGGCACTAGAATATGGAACTTTCACCATATATTCTTCCTCTTCAACTGACTGTGGTGACTGAGCAGCACATAGCCGAAAATGGCTAGCAAGAGGAGTACTCACTGGCTTAGCATTTTTCATGCCAAACCTCTCCAAGACTTTCTTGAGGTAATTTTTCTGAGTCAGAAATAATTTTCCAACTCCTCGATCTCTTTTGATCTCCATGCCAAGAATTTTCTTAGCTGCTCCCAAATCTTTCATTTCAAATTCACTATTCAGTTGCATTTTCAAAGTGTGAATTTCTGACAAATTCTTAGCTGCAATAAGCATGTCATCAACATAAAACAACAAATATACAAAAGAGCCATCAGTTAACTTCCGGAAGTAAACACAACTATCATACATGCTCCTCGTGTAACCATGACCCAACATAAAAGAA